TGTCTTTATATTCTTATCTGTCATTGTACAAGTATGTACCATGCGTGTGTGCATTTTTATAAACAAGAAATAAATTGTATGGAAGGAAAAAATTCTTAAAAATTGCTGCTTCACAAAGGACAGGATATACCAAATGTCAGAGATGCAGGAATCCTGCTATCCTGCTATGTGTTACCTTAGGGCGGAGCATCTGCTTCATTTTCTCAGCCAAAGGGCGAGGCTCACAGGAGTTGACATTGTGAGGCTCGCTGCCTCCCACTCAGAAGATAGCGTTCTTGGCACCCCCCCGGGTGTCCTGCATAGGGTGGTCCACTGTTTGGGTTTTACTGAGCGCCCATAGGTGGTCGCTCCAGGAGTCTTTCTAAATAAAACAGCACCTTAAAGCTGAATTTTAATAGGTAGCAAAAGAATAAAGGAAAAAGGAAAAAGTCCACCCATCCGTGAGGGAGAATGAAGTGATGAAATGCAGCTCTGCCATGTAGGAATGGTTTCATGTCGAGGACTTGGGGAATGGTTCGTTGTAGGCCTTCCCAAATTACAGATCCCTCAGTCACAATGTCAAATGTGGCTCCGGAAATGTTGAGGCTCTTTTGTCCCCAGGGATATTCAGGGCTTGTGGGGAATCGGGAGTCTGCGAGGTCAGAGCCTCTGGGAATAGGCATGGAAGCTCTGCCGCTGTCTTGTGCTTTGTGTCACTGCAACGGAGCCCATTGCATGCTGGGCTATAGAGGCCAGGTCTATAGAAAGGGATGGAGCGCTGTTCCAGGACAGGGCTCAAAACACACAGAGGCCATGGGCCAGGCTCCTCCATAGCGCAGCAGGCCTGAGGGGAGCAGAGCAGCCTTCTTGAGACCCTGCGGTTCCATGCTGGGCACAGTGGATGCAGAAATGACAATATGAGGCCACTGCCCCTGCGGGGTTACAGGCAGATAAGCATACACAGCGGGAAGATGCAGTCAGCTAGTTATAGAGGAAAAATAACTCACAACCTGCTAGATGTCAGAGAGGCCCAGTTCCTGTGCCCCAAAGTGAAAGAATGAATTCCAAGGAAGAACAGAGGTGAAGAGTAGGAAGCCTTATTGAGAGATAGCTCCTGAGAGACAGGAGGGCTCCCGAGTGGGTGGCCACCGAGACCCTTTGTCAGGAGTAATTTATACAGCAGAGTCACAATGTGGGTACAGTGTGGGTCAAATTATCATCACCTATAAGATTGTGAGTATAGCTGCTTAGCTAATACTGATCCAGTAGGGCAGGGAGGCACGTAGCAAGGTATATGGCTGACATGGTTAACCTTGGCTTATCTATGACTTCTAAAACCAACATTTTTGGCAAGGGATTGGTCGGGATGCTCTGGTCACCCACCCACCTGGGCATCTGATGCCTAGCTGGACTTAATGGTCCAGATGGTACTAATTTCAATATAATCTCAAGTTATTGTTTATCCCTTCGGGAGGCATGTAGACCTGGCCCCTGCATCTTTATCTTGGGCCTGGCCTTCTTTAGAGGCACCTCCAGCCACAATTCTGATGCCTTTATTTTTTCTGCTGACTTCCTTGAGGGCCAAGTCCCTCTCTGACTGTGTATTAATTTCTGTTTAACTTGACTGTTGGTAATACTGGGACCATTACATTCTCCTCAGGCACTGAAGGGTCAAGAGGCTGCAGCCCGGTATCGCTGTTTTCTTATCAGAGCAGGGGACAAGGGCTCACTTCATGGCACAATGGCTCGGTGCTCTCCATCATATGTGGAGTAGGATTTGACCAAAGTCTATGGCCTTCCTCAAGTGGGAAAAACTGATAACACCGGCAACAACAAAATAACAGCAGTTGAGGCAGCAGCTCACACACACACACACACACACACACACACACACATGCCAGGCACTGTGCTGAGTGAGTATCCTGAGGATTGTCCCACAGTGACTGGGAGGCGGAGGCCACAGGTGTCTCATGGAGTCTTCCCCAACCAGGCTGGCAGGTGGAGACCCAGGGCCGTCTCGTGGAATCTCTGTACTCATACTGGGAAGCACAGAAACTGCTGTTTTCCTCATTTTGCACTAAAGCTGAGCCTCCAGGGGTCCTTCAATTTGACCCAGAATACGTGGCTAGCCTGAGGCCTTAAACCCAGCCCTAGAGGGCCCAGCACTAGTCATTAGCTGCTCTGTTCCCCTGCCTAGGAAGGAACCCTTCCTGGTTATTACAGCCCGTTGAACACAACGCTGAAGACACTGCTTACACATTATATGCTTCCAAATAGACCCCGGAGGGAGGGGAGTGTGTTAAGGAAGAGGAAGGAATTTGGAGAAAGGGTGTACAGGACTGGTTAGTCCTTCGACAGATCCTCTCCTTAAATAACTAAATAATAAAATAATAAATAACTAAATAATAAAAGCCATACTAGTTTTCTCTGATCAAATGTAGTTTCCCCATGACGTTAAATTGTTGGGGTGCATTCTGTGGCTGGACAGGTCCCTGGGTCTACAGCATTTGCTTTCTAGACGTGTTCCTCTGCATTTCCCTCCCGGAAGTGTTCACCCGTATTTGCCTTCCGGAAGGAGGCCTTCCGGCAGTGTCCCTCCAGGCCCGTGTTCCAGCGGACCAGCTTGCTGCTTTTCTTTCCGGGGCAGCTGCGGGCGGGCAGTCATTCTCTTCCAGGGACGCAGTCAGGGGGACATGGAATTGCCTCTTCCCCAGTCAGAAAAATGCTCCTGGCCTGATGGTTGTAAACCGAGGCACATTTAACAGCTTAAACCCCTGTCATTTGGGGAGGAGAAATTGAGACATCAGTTGCCTTTAGCCAGTCCCCAGGAGATGAAGCTGCCTTCACCTTGGATGTTTATGCTTTGTAGCTGTCGCTTTGTGAGGACTTCGGCCCTTGAAGCCTTCTTTATTTGCCTGTGTTTTCATTCTCTTCAGCTTTCCACAGCTCCAGTGTAGCACAGATCCCAGAACCCCTGCCCTTAATGTGGGTGCCAAGTGCAGGAGGTAGGGGAACGAATCAAAGAGGCCACCGAAAGCAAGCATGGTAGCACATTATCTGTGATCCTAGCAGTCTGGGAGGCTGAGGCAGGAGGATAGCAATTTTGAGCCCAGCCTGTGCAACTTAGCAGCTTAGTGAGACCCTGTCTCAAAGTCAAAAAGGACCATGAATGGAAGTCAGCATAAAGGCCCTGGATTCAATCCCCAGTACTATCACACACACACATACTACACAAACACCCCCAAGGCCTGCTAGCACAGAGCAAAATGACTTGCCACCCAGCTCTGGCCCTGCATACCTAGGACATGGGTGCAACTTACTTCTCTGAAGCTTAGCGTCGTGGAAAATGTCCAGCCCATCGCCCCTTTCTTGGGTCCCTTGCTGTGAGGCTCCTGTTGGGATCTCAGGTCTCTCTGAACCATGGTAGGAAGCAGTGGTGGGTTTCCTCCATCCCTCTTGGTGTCTATACACCTCTCCTGCTTCCCTCTACCTGTGAGACTGGCCCCAGAAAACATCCTGTAACAGAGTCTGGGGGAGCCAGGGACCCTTTCACCCATTTGCATTCCGGACAAGGGAGGGAGAAGGTGAGAAAGAAGCAGATACAGAATACAAGGAAAGCCTGGCACTTGGGGAAGAAAGACAGGACCAAAACCACGAAGAAACAGCTGGTGAAAGATCTTGGCTGTCTGCCTGGCCTGGTGCTTGGTGACACTGCTTTTTGGGTCACCTTATCGCACACTGGCAGTACCCGGTGCAGCTGTGGGGCTTACTTCTCCAGTGTGCATGTGAACATAGGCACATGGGAGTTCACGTGCACGCACACACATGCACACACACATACACGTATAGTACAATTGCTGTTGATATGGAGGAAATGTTACCTTTTTACCAAGCTCCACCTCCTTGCGTTGTTTACAAGATTGCATTTCCCGTAAGAAAGCTGAGTGTGATTGCCTCAGACCCCCGACATGTCAGCCTAGGGCCTGGTCCAGGGGGCCCTAGATCCCATACATCTCCACTTACTTAAAGTATTTTTTGTGGCTCAAGTGGAATGACCTAAGTGTTAGGCATGAGGAGTTTACAGAACCATGTCTTGTGCATGGTGTCCTTTGAGCTGCCTCAGCATTCAGCAGTGATCGTTCTGCCCTTGATATAAAACCAGGGCTGGAGATGGGGAAGTAGCTCAGTGGTAGAGCACGCACTTGCTCTTGCAGAGTAGCGTCTGCCAGGCCCCAGGGATAAAATAAAACTGGAGTGAACATTTTCTCTCCCTGTACAGTTATCCTTGGCAGAATTGCTCAGAATATGTTCCTAACTAAAGTGTAAGTTCAGAGAGCATGATTGGTCAGAGTGTAAAGAAATGATCAAAGGAGAACAGGAAAAAAAATCTTCTTTTTAAGGAAAAAAGATAGAGGCTATGAGGGAGGTATAAAATTCTCATGGAGAGTGCAAGAGATGAGAAATGTAGATTGTGTTAAACACACAGCCACCAAGCCCCTTTTGTGTGCCAGGCAGTTACTGGGAACTCTGGACGAGGAATAAAACATAAAATGATACTGTAAATGGCACCACTCTCCACAGAGAGAAGGTTGTGCTTGCTATTGTTAAGTGACAAGAGGACAACAGTGTGTCTTTGGCATCCGAGCAAATCAGGAATTGGGAAGTGTGTGCTGGTCCCAAATGACAGGATCCTATTACAGAATTGTTACCTCTTTCTGTGTGTATCTTTAGCTCCTTCTAGAAAGGGCTCCCAGGGAGGAGGTCCGCTTTAACATGCACATGGATTTTAGACAGGCAACTGGGTTTCGCTTTTTGTGGTTCAGATGAGAGATGCTTAAGCCCTTTGATGCATCTTCAGAAAAGAAAGTCCCTTAAAGAAAAGCAATGGTCTCACTGGAACGGCCCCCCAGACGGTGGCCTGCTCCCGGGCCCTCCACCGTGAGCCAAGCAGTGCAGTGTTCTGTTTATGGGAGGCTGGAGGAGCAGGGTGGACTTGCATAACCCCGTGCCTTTACCCACAGAGAAGGGGCCGCCCGAGGCAGCGACAGGTCCTGGAGCTGACGGGCAGCCCACGCCACCCTGGATCACCATGGCCCGCCAGAAGCGGCGAGGGGCCCCCGACCAGCCGCCGAGCCAGGAAGACAAGCCCGGAACGCGGACCCTGAAGTCGGAAACAGGAAAGCAAGCCAAGGCACCCGAGAGAGCCCAGGTGCTAATTGCAGACCCCTTCTGTTGCTGCGGTTCAGGAGGGGACAGCTGACCAGGGCTGGGGCTGGGGCCGGCGTGATGACCGCGCGTCCCACACGGGCAGCTCTGACACCAGCACCTGTGGTGGCTGCTGATGGGTGGCTGAGCTCGGTGAGACAAAAGCAATTTTGTGCCAAACGGTAGGCTCTGCCTGCTCTTTGCACGTGCTGGGCTTGTTAGGGTTGTGGAGAGGCAGGGAATCGCTTAGGCGGCGGAGACAGTGCTCTGCTCCTTGCCACCTAGGCAACGCAGCTCAGCATCTGGAGAAATGGAATGAGGTTAAAATAGCTTCTCACTCAGACACATAGCAACGATGTCAGCTGCTCCCTCTCAGCTCACTGTGCAGTGATCAGGGAGCCCCGCTTGTGCCCCTCGTGTTGTCCGCCTGCTGGGGCTCCTCATCCTTCCCCTGGGGATGCATGGCCGGAACCTGAGGTTTCTTTCTGCCCTCTGCACTGTAAATAGCTTCCACCAACAGGGACAGCTAGAAGCAAGCTGATCTCCAGTCTTGGGGTCCCTGGGACAGCCACAGTAATAAGAAGATAAATCCATAAGCGTGTTTCAGCCTTGTCAGGAACGCCTGAGCCTGCACCTGCCTCCCTCCTTTTAACCACGACTCCATTGCACCCAGACTGACCACTCGAGTGCAGACTGGGGACTTTGTAGAAGAAGGGCTAGCCCGTGCAGAGTATGTGTGATCATGCCCAGTGTCCTAAAAGTCATGAAACCATTTCCAAACTCAATTCATTTTGACCGTCACATAGAATCCCTGCCATCCAGCACCCGGGGCTAAGGCCATGTTTGAGGGACAGGGAAGCCACAATACACACAAGGGGGGATCAGGTTGGGTACTGGGCAGAGGTCCAGCATTCTGCTGCTGGACGTCAGCGAGGGGACACACCAGAGCTCACCCGGAAAGTGCCACCAACATAGTTCATCCTGGGAGAGACCCCTTGTGACTCAGGCACCTGCAGTGTGTCTGTCTCTCTCCCCGGCTGTGTGGCTGACAGTGTGTGTCTGTCTTGTATCCCCTCAGGAGCCCGTGAAACAGGTTGACTTTGTCCGAAGCAAGTCTTTCCTGATGACCCCTGCTAAGCCCATGGTGACCCAGAAGCAGGGGGCCAAGCTGAGCCTCAAGGAGGGGCTACAAAGGGGAATCTCCCTGTCGCATCAGAACTTGGGTATGAGATCGGCCTGTGTTACCAAGCACTGTGGATTCATGGTCCTGGATGGTTCCTGCGGTCTTGGTTTGTTTTGTTTGTTTGTTTGTTTGTTTTGTTTTGTTTTTTGAGACAGGGTCTCACTGTGTAGTTCAGGTTGGCCTTAAACTCATTATGTAGATCAGGCTGGCCTCAAAACTCATGGTAGTTCTCCTGCCTCAGCCTGCCAAGTGCTGGGATTACAGGTGTGTGCCACCACACCTGGCTCTTTTTGCTGTTGCTGTTTGGAGTTTTGGTTTTTGTTTGTGGGGTTTTTTGTTGGTTTCTTTTTTTTGCTGTTATTTGTTTTGTTGAATTACTTGCCATGTTGAGTTTTTCCTGCAGTGTTTATTGAGATACAATTCACACACCATAAAGCCTGCCCAAGTAAGTGTATAATTCAGTGAGGGCGTATTCCCGATAAGTGCCTTATCTACAGAATGTAGAACCTAAGCTGAAGACATTTCCCTCACACTTAAAAAGAAACCTCACAGCCACTTGACCTCAATCCCCATTCCCCATACATTACTCTGGGAAGCCAGTAATCTACTTTCTGTCTCTATAGATTTGCATTTTGGGAACATTTCTCATAAATGAAATCATAAAATATCTGTTCTTTTATATCTAACTCCTTTTGCTGAGCACAGTATTTTTGAGGTTCTTTTCTTGTTGAATGTATCAGTATTTTTTGTAATGTGCTCGAGACTGAATTCAGACATGCTAGGCACATGCTCTGCTGCATGCCCAGCCCTTTCTTGTTTTGTTTTTGTTACTGGGGATTGAACTCAGGGGCTCAAGCATCTACCCATCTATTCTTCTAATGAGCCACTCTCCAACCCTTGTATTTTGTGAATTTTATTTATTTTTCATTGGGATAAAAGGTACACCACAAGGAATTCACCTTTCTGTCCATTGTAAGTGGACACTGGAGTGGCATTAAGTTCATTCACTTGTTGTATGACCTACCCGTGTTCCTGCAGTTTCACTCTGTTTCTTACTCTGTACGCTGCCGTAACTGTTTAAGCTGCTCATAACCCTTTCTGCCACATAAATTACATATTCTCTGCCTAAGTGTTCTTGACACATTTCCAGACTAGTGAAGTTTCTGCTGGGGAACGCAGTTGAGACTTTGGCCCGTATTTAGAGAAATGCAGGAGGCTTGCGTGAACATCCACACTCCTGTCTCGTGTTTGTGCTTGTCCCCCTGCAGCAGCTCAGGCTGCGGCGATGACGGAGAAGGAGATGCATCAGCTGAAGCGAGCCAGTTATGCCAGTGCAGACCAGCCCTCCTGGATGGAACTCGCCAGGAAGAAATCTCAAGCTTGGAGCGACATGCCCCAGATCATAAAATAGGTTGGCGGCTCGCTGATGAAGAATATCCATTCCCTTGACGCGCCACTTCGTTTAAAACTGCCAGTAAATCATGGCAAACAGACTGTGCAACTTAAGATTGATTTTATCACCAAGTTATGCTGAGCTCGGGGAAGAGGACGGAACCAAGCAAAGCAAAGAGAACAAACACAGCCATAACCCTGGACCAGACGGCCCCCAGCAAAAACCACAGTGAAAAAAATTCAGGAGTGAGTTCCTGTGCCTGGGGGCGTGAATGTGAGCTTTAGGATTCCCTGGGAAAAGAGACCCCAAACAAGGCAGAAAACGGAAATGAAAAGCGGATTTATAAATCAGACACCCCAAAAGACCAAAACCGAAGCCATCCCAGGAGCGCCCACATTTGCGCTCCTGCTGAAGGTCAGCCTATGTCTGACCACTCTCTTGCCTGTGTTCTCCTTTCGTGTTTACCGCTAGGCATGACATTTGTGAAAAAACAGGGATGCGTTTCCAAGAGCAGCTATCAGACAGTCTGATTTCCCGAAGACAGCCACTCTTAAGGAGGAGAGGAAGGAACGTGGCAGGGTTTGTCAATCCAGAGACTGTTTCCAAAAATAATTTTTAAACTTTTCCACTTGGCATCTGTGTCCTCAACCATTGCACAATGCATTGCCTGTTTAATAAAAGGTTTCGAACATGCCTCAGTTACATGTGCAAATGTTATTTCTGCTCTCAGAGAACATCCTGCTACTCAGGGTTAAAGGCGAAGTATGAAGTTTTTTGGGTTGGGTGGGCAATTCCAATTTTTGGAGGTCCCCCCCCCACCAATTATTTTGGTGTCCATTTTTGGAAGACAGAAGATAACAATTTTTTTTCGTGTATGTGGTACAACACAGTAAAAATATAAAATTTCTTACAAGTTATCATTCTTTAGCATCGGATTCTTCTAATCTGCACATTTTTATTGAAAACCAGGTTATGAGTGCAATATCTACAGTGAACCACAAATGCAGAATATGGAGAAGCCAGGCAGAGGCATTTATTTGGAATCTCAGAATTGTGTCTCAGTTATATATTTCTTTACTTTTTGAAAACAGGTTCCATTTGTTCCTTTGAATAAGCCAGTCTCCATGGAATTTGTATAGCTGGAATCGGAACTGATACAGGGTCATATACTGTAATTTGATTTCATGTGTCTTAAGGACCGCTACTTTTATTTATTCTTCATCTTTATGAAAATTCTTTTTTCTAGTTTTTAGCACTAAACAACTTTATAGAGTCTACTCTTACTGAAAAGGTCCTGGGGCAGATTTTTCTCCCATCCAAATTGATCATGGTAATTGCCTTTTCCTAGGGAGGCTCCCGGGTGAATGGGGGGCGCCCGTTACAGAAATGGGGGCCCAGAGCAGAACCCATAGAAAGGAGCTCCTCTTCAGTTTTCCCATTAAGCATCTAAATGGAAATACCAAGTCGATCAAGTTGTAAAGTTGGGAGTCAGCACTGTTTGGATGGGATAGGAATTCAGGGTCTGGAAGAGGGAAGAGAAAGCTCCCTGGGTCCATCCCAGTTATTCCAGCGAGGAGTCCAGAGAAAAGGTCTGTGGGAAGGGAGCAAGAAAAGAAGCGGCCCAGAGCAAGGTAAGAAACAAAGTGCTGGAAGGGAAAAGGATTAATCAGCCGTCTAGGAAAGGATCAGCTCAGAGGAGAACAGGAATAGCCATTGGCATTGGACACCCAGAAGTCACAGCTGACCTTCACAAGAGCCCTTCACGTGGAGTGTGGGGGGCAGAAGTCAGGTACAAGAGGTCCAAGCCTGTTGCTGCCAGCTGAAACCCACTTCCAAGAAACTGCGTGTGATGAGAGTAGAAGGAGGGGTTGTGTGGGCAGCAGTTTTATTTGTTTGTTAGAGCAGACACACAAGAGCAAGTTTGTGTGTGGGTGGGAATAAACTTGTAGGAGAGAAGAGAAAACTGCTGATCAGGGCTTTGGAAGCATGGCTCACCGGCCAGAGGTTCAGGCAAGGGTGAAATGTTGACAGCCCTGAGCTGCTATTGTTCCTCCAAACTGGAACCCCGAGTTTTGGTCCAGCTGACACGTGATCGCAGTCACCGCTAGGACAACAGCCTGCCCGTATGCTTGCCCTGCTACATGGGGATGCTGCACCCCTCTCTTCCCCTTGGTTCAGGTGTCAGTGCTGAGCTTTTGTTCAGCGAGAAGGGCGTGGGGGTGTTGCTGGGTGTACAGACTGTGACCACCCTGACACATGTACTGTGTGTATGTGGTGTTGAACCCCAGGGTCCCTTTTCACCTTGGAGAGCTTCACAAAATCCACTTGGACGCCAGCTGATTCTGTGTGGGAAGGTCCAGTGTTCTCCGTGTCTCACGGGCCTTCTAATCTTATACCTCCTTTGCACTTGGGAATCATGCATTCTTGGTGGTGGCTACTGCCCTTCCTTACAACAGGGCCACGTCTGCAGTCTGCAGAATTCCTGACATTCTTTGTTGGACAAGTCTATTAAATATTTGGAAGTGGAATCACAAGGAGATACACCCCAGGACATACAGTCCTTTCTGGCTTCCTAGTCCATTGACGTCAGCCACCCCAGCAGGTCAGGTTTCTCTTGGTTGTCTCAAACACATTCATTTACCACTCTTAAGGCTTAACAGGGAGCTCTTTGGAACAAAAGGAATCATCTCGTGGAGGAGAGTTGTGGTAAATAAAATTACCTCCACCCCCTTCAAGCCTACTCTCTAATTAATGGCTCATTCACATGACTCAGACCCCCTAGCACCAACTCAGCAGCCATGTGATTGAAATTTCTTGGGATTGGCTTCTCCAGCCCCAGTCAAGCTGTCAGAAGATGGCTGCCCAGCTGATGCACTGACTGTAGCCTCATGAGAGAGCCTAGGCCAAACTACCCAGCTGGGCTTCTCCCAACCTCTGGTCCACTGAAACTGAAGTAATGTTTATTGCTTTAAGCCAGTAAAGTTTTGGGAGTAACTTGTTACACAGCAACAGCTGGCTAATGCAACAGGTTTTCATATTTTTTTTCTGGATCTGAAAGTGAAAAGTCCCTACTTGTTTTAAGGTTAATATTTTAGCTCAGCTTTAGAATATAACCCTAAGCACAGTACTGAGATAATTTTTTCAACACCCTTAAATTTATTCTATAATAGCAGCCTGTCTTAGTCTGGGAAACAGGGATACCTAGGATGTATGTCAAGGTTCTGAGTCCCTTAGTGTTTTAGTTGCTGTTCTCTCATTGCTGGGACAAAATACCTGACACCCAAAATTAAGGAAGGGAAAGGTTTATTTAGCTCACAGTTTCTGGAGGGCTCAGTCAATACTCAGCTGGCTCCAAGGCAGGGTGGTACATGGCAGAGGGCAACAACTCATGGTGGTAGAAATCAGCAAAAGCAATAAAAGCAAAAGGGGAGGAGTGGAGAGAAGACTTTCTGTCCCTTACCTTGTATGCAGGATACCCACCCTAGGGTGGGCGTAGCACTCACACCCATAATGCCAGCATTGGACCATGAGTCAACCACAAACTCTGGAAAACCGCCCCATGACCACATGAAGCTTTGAGGGGGACATCCAGACACAAACCTTAACACCTAGTGTGTTAGTCTGGTTTTCATTGCTGTGACAGAATACATGAGAAAAACTTAAGGAAAGATTTATTTTGGGTGACAGTTGCAGAGGTTTCAGTGCAAGATTGGCTGGCTCCAATGCTTTCAGCCTATGTCAAGGCAGAAAAGTCATGGCTGAAGAGCATTTCAGAGCAAACCTGCCCACCTTGTAGCATCCAGGAAGCACAGAGAGAGCTGCCCCCAGGGACTCGCCTTCGTCAATTAGGACCCACTTCCCAGGAAGCCCATGGAGCTAGGAATTCATCGGTGGATGAGTCCATCGATGAGATTCGAGCCCCTGTGATCCAATCACTCCCCAAAAGTCCATTAATTGGAAACCAAGCCTTCAACACAGTGAGCCTTCTGGGGGCTGCTTCGTATTTAAGCCAGAACACTTTGCATATGGTGGCGGCAGCGTTTCTGGAAGCAGATGCCCGGCGAGGGAGCACAACTCACACTCCTCCCTGCTCGGTGCACACGCTACCTACGTGTGGTACCCAAATGAGTCTGGCTGCTGGAATGTGGGTAGAAGTGAAGTGCACCCTGCATACAAGCCCCTGACTTTCTAGAGAAGGCTCAAAGGAGGGAGGACAGCCAGGATGCCAAGAGAGGAAGTCTTCCACGGGAGAGGCAGCGGGGCAGGGAGGAAGACGCTTGGCTCAGAGACATGGAAGAGAAGCAGGAGAGGTATCTTCAAAAGATGTTTGAAAGCAGAAGAAAGTGATTCATTCTGCATCACTCCACAGAGAACAAACCGGAACTGTAAATGAAAGTTCAAAGAAGGATAAAGGAGCAAGTGTATAAACTCCGAGTTGTGCGGTGTGGGATAGCTTTGCCAGGTCAGGAGCGAGCCGCTTCCTTCCAAGGTGAGCAAGCTGAAGGAGGGTGGGCATCACTCTAGGATGCGGGACCGCTCTTTGCCCTTTCAAGATGTTGGTCCTGCAAGGCTCCCTGCCCTGCAGCTATCCATGTCTAGAACTGTACGGCATGCAGCATCCTACGGCAGAAGCGTTTCACATACTGCTCTGCACACTCTTGATTACTAAGAAGCAATCATCCGGGTGTTGATCCTGACAGGCTTTCATGCAGCAATCATTATCCAGTGTGCTTGGAAAGCTGCTTATGACCACGCCGAACCCACAAGTCCCAAGATGGGGCCTCCAGCTTCCTCTCCCCAGTTGTGCTTGGCAGGAGGAGGGTACAGCGCTACTTGCCAACCCACCCCTGGAACGTCCAGCTCCTCCTGTGTCTCTCCCATGTGGAAGGGTATGTTATTTATTCCTTGGTAGATGAAAATAATCTTCGGTGTGCAGGCATCTTAGGCCCAAACAGCAGAAATAATGGAAGCCGAATGCGTGTATTTTGGGCAATGCACAAGTGTTTGGGCAGTGGTTGACGTTTGCTTTTTATGCCTTGTCCAACTTCCTTCATACCTTCTCCGTTGGGAAATTATCCTTACTAGCATGGAAATAAAAGGGAGGTGTGTTGGTGGTGCCCAGAAGATGATTATAGCAGGCTGGTTGTCGGGGTGTTCTTCAAGAGCTTGCTTGTTAACCTCTCCTGAGGCACGCTGCGGTATTTGCAGGGAGGCTAGAGGCCTTACAGCCTGTGTGGTCCTCCCTGCTGAGGCCCTCATTTGACAGTTGCTACTACGGTTGCAGAAAACAGAAGTTTCACTTTTCGCCCACTATCCAAAGAAAAACAAGTTGTTCCTGAACGATTCCCCATGGGGATGAGAATTCTGGTACTGAATTTAGGAAAATGCAGAATTTTCTACTGAGACAAAGAAAACCAGAAGCGGATCACTGGGGAGTCCATTAGATAAATTAAACCCAAACTTTCAGAAGCAGAGGCCTTTACATTTAGAGTCTCAGTCTTTGTTCCCAAGGAGGGGACAGAGGGAGATGATCAGATTGTGTTCCTTATGACTCTGCCCAAACGCCCCATTCCCCATCTCATCTGTGAAGGTCAGGTGCCCCCCAGGTCGGCTGCCCAGGGTCCTATTGTGACCAAGGCAGAGGCTGGACATCTGCAAGGATGCTGAGTTAGGGCATCCGTGTCTTCAAGTTGTCCTG